CCGGGGCGGCCGGAGCACCTGGCAGTGTGCCTGCCCAGGGAGCGGCAGTGACAGTGCTGGGGCAGGGACCAGAGGTCAATGTGGCACTCTCGCTGCGCCTGCCCTTGTGGACGAGGGTCCCATCTTTGGGGCTGGGAGCCTACCCCCTACCCCAGCGAGGGCTGGGAGTGCTCCTGGGGTACCAGTGTCATCCAGGCCAGGAAGCTCTCCCCCACCCTCAGCACCCCAGGTGAGCTGGTAACAAGGTCCCCGGACCTATGGCAGCAGAACGCAGGGATTTAGGGGTGCTGCCTGCATCCCAAAGTACCGCAAATCCACCACCCTGGACCCTGCAGCATGCAGCCCCGAGGGGCTGAGTGTGGGCAGGGCACCCACTGAGTGACCTGGGGCACCCAGCTTACCTAACACTGTGCTGCTCTGCGCCGGGAGGGTGACACGGGGAGGGTGACACCAAGAGGGTGACACAGGGACGGTGACACCAGGAGGGTGACACCTGGAGAATCACAGCGGACGACAGGGAGACCAGGGCCCAGCGGCAGTTTTTAAGGGGAGGAGAAGGGAAGAGGCAGGGCAGCCAAAGGCAGTGATATTTGCCAGCGCTGCGGCTGCTGGGAGGGGAGGAGCAAGCATAGGGAGAAACTGGCCCCTACTGGCCTCCCAGCCAGGACGCAACAGGCTTCTCCAACACCACCAATCCTGCTCCCCATCCACAGGTCTCAGAACATGTCCCCCTGCATGGGGATGAGGAGGCTGTCTCTTGCTGCCCATGCCCAGCCAGCTCCTTCTCCACAGGCAGTTTTGCCAAAATCCTGTGTGATCCTGTAAGCTGCTGGTGGCAATTCCCCCACCATAAGGGGACATGAGGTGGCACCAGCTTGTCGTCAAGGAGAGGGGAACAGCTATGGGGAGATGACAGGGTTAGGGTCCATGCAGGCGCAGGGCAACGAGCATCCCATGGTGAGGGTTCAGGCAGGACTTTTTATTTCTCCACAGCAGTTCCAGTAGAGGGGAAGGAGTCCCTGGTGCAGCAGCAGTGCCATCTGCACGGGCTGGATTTGAGGGGTGTCAGGTGGTGCTGTCTCAAATATGGGTGCGGAAGCGCAGGTCGGTGCCCAACATCTTCTGCATGTAGTCCTGGTCGAAGTG